ATGGCGGCCATGACCCTTTCCACTCCCTTGTAGGACTGCAGGAAAAACAGGATGGATGTTAGGGCAACCCGTGCGAGGGGGAGAATCAGAAAAAGAGTAGGATTGAGACTAGAGGAAAAGAATTCCCCCCACACCCCTGTTGGTTCCCTTGGATGGCAGGGACGGCAGCCACATCCAAAATGGCGGCTGCGCCAATCGAAAAGTGTAAAGGAAGTCAGCCTGCACGAACTTCAACAGTCCTGGGAGCCACAGGGCTGAACAAATGAGCAAAGGAAGGGCCGCACGCCAGCAAAGCTGGCGGATTCAGCCGCAGCAGATCGCCATGTGGCTTCCAAAATTGCCACAATGATCCGGCCGCAAGGGAAGACATCCGGGGTCTCTGAGAGAAGTCAGAAGCTAAGGAGGTTACCCGAGACCTCTGAAAGGCCAAAAACGGGGGGGGGGATTCCTAACTGCAGTGCTGATCCTAGCGCTGCAAAATGTGAGGAAAGGAAGGCCAGAAGCCTCCGACAGTCAGGCTGGGGTAGCGCTAAACCTAGTGCTACTCAGGAGACAGGAAACTATTGAGGCTGTGGAAATAATGGAGAATTCACCAATAAAACTGATCTACCTGCCTACTCTGGGAGCCAAATTTGCCACGTCTGTCTGGGTTGAAGATCCAAGTCAAGATTGGTGTGTCCTAGTCCAGGACGGGTGTGGCAAGTTTGACTGACTTGGTCTAATGGGCAGGAAGACAGAGAAGTTCACAGCTCTGCCTACAGAGCCACCAAAGCTGTAACGGTGGTAAACCTATGGTACGCATGCCATGGGCGGCACGCAGAGCCGTCCCTGTGGGCACATGTACCATCACCCCAGAGGGAGGCGGGGCCAGGCTGCTCCCCGCCCCCTGTCCACGTGCTCCTGCACTCTTGCTATCTTTCTCTCTGCACTGAGTCAGGGAGCAGCTGCAAGAGCTGGGCAGATCCGGGCTGGATGGTGGAGGCAGCTGCAGCACCGAGTCCAGGTAAGCCTCCAGAGCAATTTCACAGGGCCCCCATGGCTGATCCAGGTGGCAGAGGCCTTTTCGAAGCCTCAAGTTCGGATCCATGGCTGTGGGGTGATTGTACGGTGTGCCAGTGGCCCTATCCAGGCTCCAGAGGCCTGCAAAACGCCTCTGCCCCACAGATCTAGGGCTGCACAGCGATATTCCGCTCTCCCCTCTGCCAGTCCAGGCCGCTGAAGTGCCGCAAAATTGCCCCACAGCCATGGATATGAGCTCCAGAGGCTTCAAAAAGGCCTCTGCTGCCTGGATTGGCCATGGGGGGGGAGGGGCGGACATGAAGTCACTGTGCAGCCCTAGATCCATGGGGTAAAGGTGTTTTCCAAGCGGTGGCAGCAGGGTGATCTATGCGGGGGTGAGGGTGGGAAACAGCAGGAGAATCCTTGCTGGGGGAAACAATCCACTTGGGGGGAAATCAGCAGCAGGGCGATCCGTGGGGGGCAGCAATTGGCAGCAGCAGGACAATCCATAGGGGGAAACAGTGGTAGTACAATCCGTACGGGGAAACGGCGGCGGCAGGATCATCTGTGGTGGCTCGGCCAGGGCTCGGGGGACTGATTGGGGCAGCAATTTTCTTTTCCCCTCCCCCCGCCACGGCAGACTGCTACTCACTGTGCTGCCTCCCAGTAGTCAAAGGGCGACTGACCATCTCGACCCTGGTCAGAAGGAGCTTGCCACCTGGGCTACACTCATTTTTTTCCAAAGTCAATTTCTTACCATTTCTGTGAGGCTGGTAGGAGCTGCAGATTATAGGCAGACAGGCTGGCTTTGGGGGCCAGCCCACCAGTGAAGGCCCTGTGGGCTCGACATTCACGAGGGGTAGGCGAGCAATCCCAGCCAAGCCAGCAAGCTCCGGATGGCGGCCACCACACAGCTGGTTGTCAGGAGCTCTGCACAAGAGACCCAGTGGTTAGCACGAGGAGGTTCCAGCAGCACACTGGCCACACTCATCCACAATGCCATGACTACCATGGCCACACCCGCTTGGCTACACCCATTTGGGGCCACACCCATTCAGTTATGCCCACTTGGCCACGCCCCTGGCACCCAGCAATACATAAGTGGGTTTCAGGTTGCAGTTTGGGCACTCGGGTCTCTAAACGGTTGGTAAGGACTGATAAAAACTCAACCCAGATAGGGAGTTTTACACAGATGACATCAAAGGTGGCTGGAACAACCAGAACTTTCTGGCATGTGTTTATTTACAGCAAACAAAGCGCTGGGAATGGTTTTCTCCCAGTGCCTTACATACAGTCATCCTCACCAGCTCCACACATCCCCGCCCACCTAACCAGCATCCAGTGGCTAGTGTTAGCAGCGAAGAACAGCGACACAGAGCTCTGGCTCTCTTCTCTGTCCAGCTGTTCAGTACGCATTTACTGAGACGTTCCTGCACCAATCAGCTGCTTGTCGGACGCGCGGCTGTTCAGCGGCTCCACATTTGGTAATAGGTCAGGTAAGACCTCTGCTGGCTTCTTCCCAGATGTTGTCCTTGCCACTGGCCTCCCTAATGCCTCCCTGCTGGCTTCCTCCCAGCAGTCGTCCTTGCCGCTGTTCAGCTCCCTAAGGCCTTCTCATGCCAAACAGCTGTCTGGTGGCCCAGCCAAGGAACCGCTCACTGGCCCCTCCCAGGTATCGTCTCCCTCACCGCTCCCATCAATCTCGAGCCTATGGGGATTGACAGGCGGCCCCCTCTACCAGAGGTCCACCTGGAAGGCAAGGAGAAACATGTGATTAATCATGCCGTGGTGGATGGTTCAGTTGACCCCCCCTCCTGGCTTACTGGGACACCGCTGGTGGAACTTCCGCAACAACCGGGAGACTTGGATGTCCGCTTCGCTCCCCCCAGGACACCTCCGTAACAGGATATCCCTTCCACTGTACCAGGTACTGCAACCGACCCCGTCGGATACGAGAGTCCAATACCTCCTGAATCTCATACTGGTCCCCTGTGACAGGGCCTGGTATCCTTTTCACGGACCTCAAGGAGGTCCCCTCCACCGGTTTCAGTAGGCTACAATGGAAAACCAGGTGTATCTTCCCCAAAAGCCAGGGTAGTTGTAGTCGCACAACTACTGGGTTAATCTGTGTAATCTGGAACAGCCCTATGAATTTTGGCCCTAGCTTTTTGCTGGGCAACCTCAGGCATAAGTACTTAGTTGACAGGTATAACATATCCCCCCCACCTGAAAGGCTTTGGGGGCTTCCTGTTTTTGTCTGCCTGCGCCTTTGAGGCTTCCTCTGCTTTTAGTAAAGCTTTTTTCACGTTCCCCCAACCCCATGTGAATTATCCAATCCTGGGGTTGATAAGGGGAGAGGCCCCCCTGAGAGCACTCGGGAATCGGGACAAAGTCTTGGCCATGTACCACCCGGAAGGGGGCGAAACCGGTGCTGCTGTGAACCGCGTTATTATATGCTACTTCGGCGAATGGTAATAGGTCAACCCAGTCCATGTTGTATTTCTAGCTTAGGCAGTCATAGGTTACTTTTTGTTCCAGTTTGGGGCATGTGTGTGGAGGGGGGGAAGGAGTCAACTTTGTGTTCACTTCCAGAATCATCATTCTATTTGTTTTTCTTTTTATTTCAGGTCCATCTTTCCATATAGGACTACTGGGTGGCTTAAAACAGCAAGAAGGAAACGTTGACAAAAATATATATATTTCGTTTTTTTTATTTAAGAAAATTTATATGACTGCCCACTCTGTGACTTTGGGCAGCTTAAAAAAAAATAAATACCCAATATACATAACAATAAAAACAATAACCCACCCACTCTCCTGGCAACAACGCTTAGATGAGTCTCTTGGGCTGCATTCCACTCTCAGTTCCCCAGGACTTTTGGTAAAACCGGTCTTGAGGGTCTTGCAGAAAACAAAAAACCGTAAATAGGAAAGCAAGGAAAACAATAAATGTACAATAATGTGAATTGAAAGATGGGCTAAACAGGAGCAGGAAGCACAGAGGGAGGGAGGTAGAGCCAGCTAATTGAGTCCCGCAGCCACCTCCAGTGATGGACTCCCCTATTGGGACTTCACGCCAACTGGCAGAGCCAGGTCTTCAAGCTACTGCAGAAGGATGGGAGGGTGGGGGCAAGTTTTACTGGGGTGGGGTGGCAGGATGCTCCACAGGGCCAGCACTGTGGTAGAGAAGGTTCTTCTGGATCCCAACATCTGGAGTTCCTGGCAGAAGTGGTGGCGAGGATGGGTTTGCGCGCTGGCCCGCCGCTTACACAGCGCAATTCCCACTGAGTCATGGACTGGTATTGGCAGACCGGGAATTGGGGCCCTTTGCCGTAATGAGGACACAGACCCTCATTATTTTTCCCAAATTTAATTTTTTAGCCTCTTGTTAACCGGGAGTCTGATAGCAGCTGTAACTTGTAGACAGGCCATCCTAGACTCATTGATTTTCTAGGGCACAGGTCGGCAACCTGTGGCTCCGGAGCCACATGCAGCTCTTTCAGCCATCTCCTTCGGCTCCCAGTCCATGTGCATTTCAAAAAAAAATGGGACTAAAAAAGCTCAATCAATTCAAACTTGTCAAGAAAAAAAAACTTGTGAAGTTTGAATTGATTGGTTGAACTTCTTTAGTTTGTGGGACTGCCCCCAAATCTCTTCTCTCTCTCTTCAAGCTGCACGGACTGTTAGAAAGGTGAGTAGGCTCTATTCTCTGGGGAATTGCAGTAGGCCAAGAGAAGGGAGTGAGTGCCCGGCCACTCCGCCGCGCAAAGATGCCCAGCCCGGGGGAGAGCACCAAGGGTGGTGATGGCACGCCTCCTCCTCCAAAGGGACACCTACTGGCTACGAGGCAACCCTCCATTTTCCCCCACACTCTTTGCAAAGTGGCCTCGGCGTCAACCTGCCGGCGCACTTGTTCGGAAGGCAACCTTGGCTCTTTTACGATTCGTGGACTTCAACGCTCAGAATTCCTGAGCCAGTGAAGTCCACTAGTCATAAAAGAGCCAAGGTTGCCTACTGGCGCAGGAATTCTGGGAGTTTAAGTTGAAACACACCTCCCCGCCATTCCGCCGTCGCAGCCAAGGGCATGGCAGCCGGGACAAGAATCCACACCTCGTGTCCCATCGCGTGCAGATATGCGGGGCACGGGCAGAGGGCGTGGCTGCCATGGCACTGCTGGACCAGTGATCTGTGGTGGGCCATGGAGGCAGTGGGTGGCCTTGCAGGCAGGGTGCCAGGGCGGTTTTGAGCACTCTTTTTTTTTTGTCCTTCCTGGTTTCCCCACCAGCCCACTCCAGTCCTGCCACAGCATCCATGATTTATTCTGCTCTGGGTTTCCCCCCCCCCCCAAAAAAAAAAGGCAAAATGGTCCCATGCCTCACATTTTGGAATGTTCAAGATCATTTCATGCTCCTCAAGCACCACTGTAGCTTGCAATTTGCTCAGAATGTCCCATTCTAATAGAGTGCCCACCCACCCCCAAAAGAGCCTGTTACGGCTGCCAAAGAGGTATACCATAAACAGCAATGCAATAAAAAGAAACAATAAAAGCACAATATGAAAGAGGGGAGTAGAGGGGAGTAGGATGCGTAGGAGGAGGTGGGGTCAATGAATTAGTCCAGCAGCCACTTCCAGTGATGGGACTCCCCCCATTGGGACCGCAGGCCAACTCTCAGAGCCAGGTCTTCAGGCTCTTGCAGAAGGATAGGACATGGGGGCAAGCCTCATCCTGGGAGTGGCAGGGTGTTCCAGAGGGATGGATATTTTGTCAGTCTGCTTCCTGTCAACTTATGTTCCAAAAGGTCCACAACTTCACCGAGGACTCAGACCCTCGTCATTTTTCCCAAAGTCAATTTTGTTAGTTCCAGTTGTCAGCAGGCTGTAGCAGCTGCATCTTGTAGGCAGGCTGGCCATCCTAGGAGAACCGTAACCCTATTTATCCCCCTAAGGTCTTGTACAAGCCTAAAGGAGCCATTGGCCCTCTCAGTGGCTAGGCTTCTTGTCCTTTGCGTTATCGCCATCATACGGCGGGGTCTGTAGTTTTGCATTTTCACCCACTGCTACATCCAGTCTGTAGCATCGGCAAGGCACATGCCAGTGGCTTGCATATTTTCATGCAGGCAGTCCATCCATCGCTTTTTCAGTTGTCCTTGGGGAGGGAGGCTGCTGGCCATCTGGGATTAAGTGCAAGTGTCCACTTCACAGTGGATTCCACATCGGCTCTTTCCGCTGGTCTGTACCACCCCATCATGGCTTCTCTCATTTTGTATGCAATTGGAGCAACTTTGAAGGCCTTCAGGATCTCTGTCATCTGATCCAGCCCTGTTGACCCTCCCCATGACCATCTGATCATTTGCATTTCCCCTATCTGCAGTGCGTGTTCGTGTCCTTTCACTGTTAGCCATCGTCTCACCCCATAGAGGAGGAACTTCCAGGTGGACCACCGGGTGGAAGATCTTCAGTTTAAGGCCCAGCAGGATTTTCTGGTCACACAGGATGCCAGTGGCCACAGCCTGGCAGCGTTGACTTGTTCTCGGGCATTGAGAAGTGTGCCACCATCAATTAGGTGGGATCTGAGGTAACGAAATAACAAGATCAATGCAATGAAAATAAAAAATAAAATGCAATTATATGAATTAAAAACTGAATGGAGGGGAGCAGAATGCAGGTCAACTAATAAGTCCAGCAACCATCTCCAGTGTGGTCCCTGCCCTATTGGGACCTCAGGCCAACTGGCACAGCCTGGTCTTCAGGCCCTTACAGAAAGATGGGAGGGTGGGGGAAATCTCACCCATGGGGCAGGATGTTCCACAGGGCCAATGTCACAGCAGAGAAGACTCTTCCTGGATCCACCAGCTGAAGGGACTGGAGGCTAAAATATATAAAGAATTGTCTGCTAGAATTGGGCATGTCTAGTTTAATGAAGAGAAGGACCAGGGGGGACATGATAGCAGTGTTCCAATATTTGAGGGGCGGCCACAAAGAAGAGGGAGTCAAGCTATTCTCCAAAGCATCTGAAGGTAAGATAAGAAGCAACGGATGGAAATTAATCAAGGAGAGAAGCAACCTGGAAACTTCCTGTTAAAACAATTAATCAGTGGAACAACCTGCCTCCAGAAACTGAATGTTCCATTCTAATAAAGAAATTATGCACAACTGTTTTCCTTCCTATCCGGTCCCTTTTCAGGTTGACCTACCTCAGGAGTAGGCAACCTTGGCACTTTTATGACTCGTGGACTTCAACTCCCAGAATTCCTGAGCCAGCATGGCTAAGCATAGAAACCTCTCCCTTCCCCTCAGCGTGGCTGGCTCAGGAATTCTGGGAGTTGAAGTCCACGAGTCATAAAAAAGCCAAGGTTGCCTACCCCTGTCCTAAGTCCTCCTGTTCTAAGCGGTGAGCCTCCTAGACCAGGGGTGGGCAACCTTGGCTCTTTTATGACTCGTGGACTTCAACTCCCAGAATCCCTGAGCCAGCCATGCTGAGGGGAAAGGGAGAGGTTTCTATGCTTAGCCATGCTGGCTGAGGAATTCTGGGAGTTGAAATCCACGAGTCATAAAAGAGCCAAGGTTGCCTACACCTGACCTACCTCCTCTTTGGATGAGCACCTGATTTCTACCAAGGTAAGAACTTCTTTAACTAGAGAAACTACTCTACCCTATTTCCAGTGTAACTTTATAATACAAAATAAAATAAAATAAAACCCAGGAAAAATAGGGGAGAGAAAAGTGTAGGAAAAGGCATTGAATTCTGACTCCCTTTGGTGCAGTGGAATAAGACAATAACAAACCAACTTTTTACTTTTACATAATTGTATAAACTATTCATTTCTATCATAAACTCAAAACCAGAGTTTCATTTTTTTCCAGCTCAAGCACAAAGTCCAGAAGCAGTTTCCCAAGTAGAAACAAAAGGAATTGAGTTTTTTTCTCTTTTTTTGCAGCCATTTATCCATTGCGAGAATCAAAGCGTCCTTCCATTTTTGTGCATAAAAGTAATATTGCTGCTGTCAACATACATAACAGAAACTGCCTTTTCTATTTGATGCATATTGGTGTTTTTGGTAAATGCCCTAGTAGAATGTCTGGTTTCCTCAGCCAGAATAGTAAGCCAATTTCTGCCAAGTCTGGCCTCAGCAAGGTCCAAACTCCCTCCCTTTCACAGACCCCTTTTTAACCAGAGTTTGTTTTTTTCATGTGGGGTGTACTGAACCCACTTGAGTTTCAGCCATTCCCACTTATTTTGGATCTTCTATCTTGCTGGTTATTCCACTCTGCTTTAGGTTATCCCACTTCTGCCACCAATTGTGTGACGGGCTCCTTTTTTTCTATACCCAATTCGGTGGGCCCCCACATCCTACAGGGCCCAACCCAAACAACAGCAAAGGAGGGTGGTGATCCCAGTTTGTTTCTACACTCTTCCCCAGGTCTGCTTAGGATGCTACTTACTATTAGGAGTAAACTATAGTTCTCCTTACCATCCGGTTACTTCTAGTTTCCAATACATAGTAGCAAAACCTACAAACCTCACTGCTGGACTGCTTCAAGGCCAACTGCTCCACCGTAATCACACCACACCCAGCTGCTTTGCTGCAAACCTTTTATAGCTGCATTTGCAAAGCAGCTCGATTGGCTGGGGAGTGGTCTTAAAGGCGCAGAACACCACCAGCCCAGATGCTAGCTAGCTGATCTCAGGCAGCCTGTCCACTTTTTTCAATCTTTTTGCAAACAGGACACTGATATTTGCACAATACGAACTTCTGTTCTCTGTCGTCTCATATCTGTTCTCTGTCCTTCCTCCCTCCCTCTCCCTATCTATCTATCTATCTATCTATCTATCTATCTATCTATCTATCTCTATATATCTATATCTCTTCTTTCTCTTTTGCTTCTCACTGTTGGTGCCAGAAATGACCACGTCTGTGCTTTTCTACAGGGAAAGAACTTTTTGGCAGAAGGAAAAAAATGCCCGGCCTAACACTGAAGATACTTTAAATCTTTCTGAACCTATATTTATCTATCTATGTCTATGTATCTTTCTACTCTTTTATCTATCCATCCATCCACCTACTCCCATCTAGGTCTACCTACTTTCTCTTTCATCTGTATCAGTGGCCTTCAAACTTGGCCCTTTTATGACTTGTGGACTTCAACTCCCAGAATTCCTCAGCCAGGCATGCTGAGAGGAGGAAAGGGGAGGGGGAGGAGAGGAGAAAAAAAAGGAAAGAAAAAGGGGAGAGGAGAGAAAGAATGGGAGACGGGGAGAAAGGGGTAGAAGAAAGAAAAAACTGCTTCTTGCGCGGAGCCAGAAATTGCGGAGCAAGATGCCCGTTCGATGCGGCGACAAGCAGGCCCAGGCGCTCCTGGGCGGCCATGGCAAGCGACGGCACAGGCCGACCACCAGCTGGCCCAGCCCAAGGGAGGTAAGCCACCACCGGGCCCCATGCATGCCAGCTACCCTCCCAGCGCCCGCCGCTGCCCCGCTAGCCTCACCATGGCCATCGCCCGTTCGGTGTGGCAGCAGGCAGGCCCAGGCGCTCCTGGGTGGTCCTCCCACCCCTGGCCCTCTTACTTACATTTAGTAGTTGCTCAACAGGGAGGGGTGGAAACTTCCAGAAAGCTCGCCTTAGCTGCAGACAACTTGCAGCAACGTTTGCCAACTGGGACTTTTGGTGGGCTCAGCAGGGCAGAGACAGCCTGGACGAACGCCAACAGAATAGACTCTCTTGAATAGAGTCTATTCTATTGGCTTTCAAATGCCAATAGAAGCACAGCTCATGAAAAAGGGGAAACAAACAAAAATGCCGGACTGCGTTTCATAAGGATTCTATGAGGAAAAACTCCAGGACTTTGACCCCTGTGAAATGGTTGTTTGACCCCAAAAGGGATCGTGACCCATAGGTTGAGAACCGCTGCTCTAGACCTTTTAGTTTTTCTTAGTAAATTCAAGTGTACATTTAATACATGCATCGTTTGGGTCTTCTGTGGGCATCTTAAACTTTGCAAGTTAGTGTAGTATCAGTCTCTATTTCGATGACCATTTAATACATGCATCGTTTGGGTCTTCTGTGGGCATCTTAAACTTTGCAAGTTAGTGTAGTATCAGTCTCTATTTTGATGACCATTTAATACATGCATCGTTTGGGTCTTCTGTGGGCATCTTAAACTTTGCAAGTTAGTGTAGTATCAGTCTCTATTTCGATGACCATTTAATACATGCATCGTTTGGGTCTTCTGTGGGCATCTTAAACTTTGCAAGTTAGTGTAGTATCAGTCTCTATTTCGATGACCATTTAATACATGCATCGTTTGGGTCTTCTGTGGGCATCTTAAACTTTGCAAGTTAGTGTAGTATCAGTCTCTATTTCGATGACCATTTAATACATGCATCGTTTGGGTCTTCTGTGGGCATCTTAAACTTTGCAAGTTAGTGTAGTATCAGTCTCTATTTCGATGACCTTTTCTGTTAAATTAAAATTTTGTAAAAATTAAATATTTTTCCTATTGCGAAGTATCAGTTTACAATAGTTTACAAGAGTTCTTGGCCTCTTGTTCTCTGTCTTGAAAAATTCATCGCTGTTCTTCCCTGTTTTGAAGTGTCTGTCTCTTGTTCTGTGGTTTATTTTTTTTGTTAATGTTAATTTAAAATTTTCTAAAGAATTAAAATAAGTACACTTTTTCAATTTTTAATTGAAAAAAAATAAAATTAAAAATCATAATTTAAGAGTTGAAAAAGATTAAAATTTGAAAAAAGAATTGAAAAATTGAAGAAATTGCCTTTCTTCATTGTTGCCTTTATTCATTGCTGCCTTTCTTCATTCCTTGTGGACGGTGACCCTTCCCCCGCTGCATTTCTTGCCTGTTTGCTGCTGCCAGCACAGGTGCTGCCATAGCAGTTGTAGATCTGCTCATAGCTGGCCTCCTTGGTCTCCTCTCCCCCATCCTCCTTTCTCTTCAGTGCAGCTAGGACTGACTCTGCCTCTCCCAAGGCTGCTGCTTTTTTTCTCTCCCTCTCCCGCCCAAACGGCCTCCTTTTATAGCCCCTCCTATCTCTACCCCCCTCCTCCTTTCTCTTCCTGGTGATCCAGAAGTGAGCCTGGGCCCTTTGCCTCGCCCCAGCCACCCTGCTGCTCCAGAGGACTCTCTCACAGTAAGTCCTTGCCTGTGCTGGCTCGTTCTCTCCCCCACTACACTTGGCTGGGCAGGGCTGTGTACCACCTGCCGTGTGCTAGTGTGTACCACAGGTGGTACGTGTACCACCGGTTGAAAAGCCCTGCTCTAATCCAGGGGTCCCCAAAATATGGTCCACGGCCCGATACCGAGGCCTGTTGGCCACCAGGCCCTGGGAATAGCTGGTGAGCCCCACCCCACTTGCAATAGCACTGCTACAGGGGCGCTAGCCGCCCCATTTGTGCATGCGCAGGGACTAGAACTGCCGCCGTCACACAGGTGCCAGCAGCCCATGTGTGCACATGCTAGCGTCGCCATTGTGCACATGCCCATTTGCGCATGTGTGCGCAGAGCCACCTGTGCGACATTTTCCTGCTGTTCCCTTCTGAGCCACCAAGCTGGAAAGGTTGGGAGAACTTTATTCAAGTCCAAGGATAGGCAACCTTGGCTGTTTTATGACTCGTGGACTTCAACTCCCAGAATTCCTGAGCCAGCCAGGCTGAGGGGAAAGGGAGAGGTTTCCATGCTGGTTCAGGAATTCTAGGAGTTGAAGTCCACGAGTCATAAAAGAGCCAAGGTTGCCTAGCCCAGGACTAGTCCCTTGCCTTCAAAGTTTATCTGTTACGACGTCCTGGGCTGGGATTTGGTTGCAGCAATAAACGACCAGCAGGCACGAAGAACAATGCTTTAATGATATTAGGATGCATGAATAAAGTTGGCACTGAGAACTCTCCGCTCTCAGTGCCTTTATATACTGTTTGAAACAACCACACCCAAGCCCCACACCTGAATCTCCCACACCCAATACCAATCAGTTTCGCCTAATACCACCCCAAGAAACCACCATCCTGCTCTGTACAATCTTCCCAGGTGCTGACAATCCATCCCGAATAGTGTCCTCCTCTGCGCATGATTGCCGGTTGACCTATCAGTTACTGCGCATGTTCGAAAGTACTTAGAAGTCCCTGCGCATGTACAGAAGTGTCCAGTAGCCTCTGCACATGTGCGGCGATGTTCAGAAGGTTCTGCGCATGTCCGGAAGCGCCGAATAGCAACTGCACATGCACAGAATGTCGTCGCATGCCGTTTTGCCTGTGCGCATGTGCAGAACAGCCAAACAGGTGCAGTATTAGATGTCAGGCTCACTCTGGATTTCGGACAGCGTCTATCGCAGTTATGGACCATTGCCAGAAGCACCGAGAACTTCGGGACTCGCTGGAACAGCTGGTGGTACCTTGTTTACTCAACCATGCCTTAAAGGCCCGACGTTATCCCATTCCATTCAGAAGTGTTTTGTACTTAATCCTTTGCCTCCCTGCTTTCTTGCCCTTCAGTTGCCTGGCCACTGCCAGGGTTTTCAGGGATGAAGTGTTTCATGTGGAATCAGTAAATACAATAACAAGGCCTCGCTGTGCAACAGCCATTTTCCAGCGACCTGCTTGATCTCCAGGCAACGGTTTCATACGGACTCAATATTCAATTCTGGGAAATCTGTGGCTGATTTGTCATATCTTGCCTTTGAATACTAGTCTCTTAAGCCGTGACTTTTCTGGGACAGCTTGTACCACAGAGGGCTCAAGCAACTTACTTGCCACTGGTAAGGAGGTCTTTAGTCTCCTTGACATCAGTGTCTGTGCTGGACTATTGTCTATGCTACGGGTCAGCAACCCGTGGCTCCAGAGCCACATGCTCTTTCAGCCATCTCCTGCGGCTCCATCCTCCACCATGTGCAGTCCCCCCCCCAGAAAAAAAGTGGGAGTAAAAAAGTTTAACCAATCAATTCAAACTTCTCGCAAAAAAAAACCTCATGAAGTTTGAATTGATTGGTTGAACTTCTTTGGTTTGTGGGACTGCCCACAAACCTCTTCTTCAGGACTGCACATGGCGGCAGAGAAGGAAGAACCATGGTATTGAGCCACGGGTGGGGGTGGCCAGTCTATCTGCCCGCCCATCTGTCTGTACTTGGAGCGTACAGTCAGCTGACAATGAATAAAAAAAGGACTTTCACTGAACGTCAAATATATATTTGCAAAATAATAGCCAATTAAAATATTTATTTTACCTGGTTAATGTGATTTTTTGCTTCTCAACATCAGCACACAGCATCTGCACATCAGGGCTGGAAGACGTCACCGTCACCTTTAAACAAGATTGCAGGCTGTTGTCTACGAGGCGTGAGAGATACTTGTTTTTAATATAGTACATGTTGAAGAAGACCTGTTCACATACATAAGTGATTCCGAAGATCAACAGGACATATTTTTTCATATTTGTGTAAGTGCTGGGGATGGCATGCCATGTGTCAAACATAAGCTTTTCCTGTTTGGGAAGGTTTTCAGTATCACTCCATTTGTGATTCAGCATGAGATTGGCCTTCTGACGGGTAGCATCTTCAAGATTATCT